TCTCTCTCTCTCTCTCTCTCTCACACACACACACACACACACACACACACACACACACACACACACACACACACACACACACGCACACACACGCGCGCGCGCGCGCGGCCGGCCCGAAACTCGATTGCATCTGCCGACGTCGGACTAGGCATGCCGCAGAACTGCTAAGATCCCTCGGATGCAGTACTGCGGCGATTTACCTTACATAACCGCACCTTACCGGCGGCGCTGACGGGCCGAAGGGGCAGAGGGTTACAAGCAGGTGTCACTCCCACTCCCACAGAGTCCCACGCTCATTCCCACTTGCACTTGCACGAGTAGAAGTTGCATGCAGTCGGTCAGGCGATTGCAATCTGAACAGCTGCGGAGCGTGGTGATCTAGCAAGCTCGGGCTGACGACGGAAGTCCGGTCTGGTCCTGCCACTTCTTGGCATCGATGAAATCACATGAGCCGAAGATCCTCGCCTCCTCCGCCGTGAGCTTGATCGACCAGTTCACTCGCCCTGCAGTCGCGGACCCAGGGCCCATGCAGTTATACTCCGCGTAAAATATGGCATCCGTGGATTTCCCCCAACTATCCCATCCCTCAGGGGCTACGATACTGTCAAGGAACACTTCATAAAACACCACTCTCGAGGCTATTCCCCACGCCCGGCCGAGGTATACCACTCCCGTCCCCCTCACCGATCCCTTATAGAACGCAAATCCTGATCTCTCCGTCGGCGATCCTCTATTCTGAGCTGTCAAGTAGCCTTTGCTCGCCACGTTAGCATACAGACTGCAGTCGTAAAACCAAGCTGTGGCATTGCCAAAGATGAAGTCCACACTTCCTCGAATATAGCAATTGCGGAAGTAGAGCGTACCCTGATGAGCATAGAGAGTGTCTTGGAACCCAAGGAAACTGCAGTGGTAGAAGGACATGTAATTAGCGCTGGCTCTGACAGCGACGGCTTGGCCGCCCTCAGAACCATCATTCGGGCGAGGGGCGGTATTGGAGAAGGTGATATACATAGCGGTGAAGTAAGAGGCCTCGGCTGCAAAGGTGTAGGAGTCGAAGGTTCCCAAGGTGGAGGGGGAGGTGGTACTGCCAACCCCAGTTGCAGTCGGAGAGGGAGAGCCTGCAGTGTCATCCCACGAGACAACGACCTTCGTTGGGTCCCGTGAGACTCCGACGAGGGTGACGTAGGTACAGGACGAGCGTAACTTCACCTTCTCTCTGTACGTGCCATCGGTCACACAGATAACCCACCTCCTCGTTCCCCTACTACTCGGTATCTGACTGATAGCACCTTGGATGGACGTGTACGTGGCATTCTTCCCAACACCCACCGTCGCATTGCATGGTGGGAGAGGAGCCCCTGCCTGTCGAGGAGAAGGCGTCGGCGTTCCCGGTGGCGTGATGATGGCATGAGCCTTCCTCAAGCGAAGCGCCCATAGCCTTGTGTCCTGCTCCACCTTCTCTCTCGTCTGGATCGGCACGGAGAGAGAGGGACTCGTCGGGACGGACGCACATTCCGCCCATCCCACCCCCTCTCCTCCTCCTCCTCCTCCCCCTCCTCCCCCTCCTTCCCAAGAGAAGAGCCTACAACTCCACGTCGTTAGGAGAAGAACCCTCAGCGAAACCGGCCAACTCGGCTGCAAAGCCGCCATAGCCATGCTCGCTGTACTCGCCAAGCCGATCGGCAGAGAAGATGGAAGCTCAGATCTCACCCCGACCTATGATGGAAGCTCAGATCTCACCCCGACCTTCTCTCTCTCTCTCTCTCTCTCTCTCTCTCTCTCTCTCTCTCTCTCTCTCTCTCTCTCTCTCTC